AATTTAAAAGGTTAACCAGGTAAGAAATAAGGTCCTACTCTATTGGCAAGAGATCAGGCACCCAAGAGTAGCTTGTACTTGTAACTCTTAAAGTCCATCAGCTATGTCCTTTTGGTGTGTCCTTTCAGTTGCTATCCAATGAGAAAGCAAGGTCTTTCATATTGTACATAGTCTAAACTGGCCAGCCCAGCTATAGCTGAGCAATTATATTTCTGAAGTGTTTTATGTCTGGTAAACCCATCATTGTTTCAGAAATCTCATCTGGTACAAGACACAGTCAGTTTACACACAGATGTAATCAGACTACTCCTAGTGATGTTGTGCAGGGTTTGGTGTCATTAATACTTGCAGTGTTCCCAATTCTGAGAGATGTCTAGAACTTTGGAAAACACATACCCTGTCCTGCCTTGATGCCTTTTCTGCCATCCTTGAGATTAAGCAGGTCATTTGTCTTTCTGAGCACTGATTCTTTTCATTGGAGTTGTGACGTTTTGGAACATGAGACCTAGAGTTAATGAAAAATGAAATGTTGGAGGCAGCCTACTGATTCTCAGAGTACTTGATGAATAATGACTCAGTGTCATTTCAGAATTTGAATTCTGACACTGTTGTGGCTTATTTATTTGACTGCAATAGAAACCATTCAAGTTTCCAAACCTAAGACTTCTTTTGTGTCAATGGTAGCAATATTGTCAAGGATATACACATACTGTGAAGCATGACTAGCAACATGGAAGTGAGTATGAGAGAGACAACCCTGTATGCTTATAGGGCATTCCTGAGGCCACGCTTCTTGGGAAGTGAATCTTTAGAACAGTAGTCCCAGTAGCATTGTTTTCAACTTAAAAATTCTGAATTGCAATTTGTATTTTGCCCTTCCCTCTAATACATGTCCATTCCACGGTCTTGATCATTACCTTATTCCTCTCTGTCCTACTTTTCCTGGCCTGACTCCTCTGGACACCTGCCTCTTTGGGAAGTGTGTCTGGGTGCCTTCGGATCTGTGCTTTGTGCTTGTGTGTGTTTTCTCTTCACAAGGCATAATTTTAAAAGGCAATCCAGCCATTTAAGAGGTATAGTTTCCACTGTCTCAGAGCAGCCACTAATTGGTACCTCTTGAGGAGGGACATGTTCTCTGAAGTATGCATGGCTGCCCAAAAGGCAAGATGTCTCTTTCCTCTATGATTAGTCTTCCATCCTGGAAAATACGGGCAATTGAGAAGTTTGTTGTTGTTTTTCTTGACATTAAAGACTTTGTCACTATTCCCAGTGTGTGCTTCTCAGTCCATTTTATTATGAGAGAAGATTAACCCCCTTGAGTTTCTATGGATTTCAGAGACACTGGTTTCTGAAACTTTTACTGTACTATGGAATATCTTGTATGCTTTTGTAATTGGTGAATGCTTTTTGCTTCTTAACAAAAACTCAGAAAAGTGTGTGTTGGGTGAGGTCTTGTGAACAAACTAATGAAATCAACAAGTTCCTAAGAAAATCACCAATTAACCTGATCTGGTTGCATAGACCTCTAATCCTATAATCCCAACTCCTTGAAGACCATGGCACAAGGAGCACAAGTTCAAGGGATTTGTGGGCTACACAGTGAATTTAAAGCTAACCTGGGCAACTTAGTAAGAATCTGTCTTCAGTTAAGAAGAGAGGAGGTGGGGGGAGATTAGGGAGAGGATGGATGGGAAAGAAAAAAAAGGAATGAAGTGGACAAATGGGAAAGGAAATATAGAATTGCTTCTATCAAGCAGGATTTGAATTTAAGTCCACACATGCTTCATCACGACATAGGAGAATCAACTGTCTCAGGGGAAGTTTGTCACATTTTAGTACATCTGGGCAGAAGTTGGACTGTTATAAAGCATGAAGAATAGCATTAGGAGTGAAGGCTTCATGAAGTCATGAGGAAAGGCTTCAGTGGGCCCTGCTGTATTCTCAGCCTTTAATAAAATGTACAGCAAGCAAAATGTGTCACAGTGAACACAGGTTGAGAGAATTCACCTCGGACCATGTCCTTACCTGATCTAGGATGGATTGCCATTTATTTTTCCTCTGAAACATCTTAACTATTTCTTAGTTCAGGTGTTACTAAGATAGAAAAGAAGGTGATTTATTTTTTATGTTGTTTTTACCCTTAGATAGACTATCCCTAAGAGAAGTTGGGGACAAGGAATCAAGGATGTATTTGGATAGACTTGAGACTGAGGTTCCCAAAGAAGTATGCACATTTTTTCAATAACTCCTTATGTATCATTATTCTGAAATACAGCGTTGTTTGCCTTTCTGAAGTTGTGTCCCTTGGCTTTGGGATGCATGAATAATTGAAACTGTGACAAGTTGATTATCAGCTTCCAACAAAAGCATGACCAAGATCACACCTAAATTACTGGGTATCAGCAAAAGGGCATGGAATAAAGAAGCAGAATTGACTTCTTTTATGTAGTTCTGCTGACTGCCCCTAACATGAGGGCAGTCAGGGTAACATCACACATCTGGGGGTAGTGTGGACAAAGTTGCCCAGAATCGTGGTGAGCCACAGAAGTAGTCGACTCCAAAGAAGATGGAAAGCACCCAGACAATGGAGGGAAATGAAATGAAAGTACATGAAATCATGAGATGTCATGTGGAGTAATGTAATTGCAAAGGGTAAAAGCAACAAAACCCCCTGAGGTCTTTCATCATCACAATGGAGAATGATTTACCTCTGTGATCAATTCTTTATCATAAACATCCTAAAGTATTCATTTTACAGAAGAAAATACATCTTAGAAAAGTCTGTATGTCATGATACTTACAGAAGCTAAAGAATTTCATGGTAGCAGATGAAGTTATTAGTAGTATGGTCATCCAAAAGTCTATCAGAGGTGTCTGACCTTTTGAGCCTGGGACATGATGTCATTTGCTAGTATGTCAGGCTGCATTCATAGCCAGGATGTTTGTTTGTTTGTGTTTTGAAGCATCTCACCCTATTTCTTAGCCAATCATAGACTTTTGAAAACAAAGTTTCCTCATGTTCTCATTTTCACATAATTTTCAGGATTATTGCCAGGTGGTGGTGGCGCACACCTTTAATCGCAGCACTCAGGAGGCAGAGGCAGGTGGATCTCTGTGAGTTCGAGGCCAGCCTGGGCTACCAAGTCAGTTTCAGGAAAGGCGCAAAGCTACGCAGAGAAACCCTGTCTGGAAAAAAAAAATTCAGGATTACTGGAGATGGCATGCTTTAAGTTCAGATCAGGCACAGTCACTGACTGAATGGCCTTGAGAAAGAATGTTAATTCACTCATTCAAAGATTGGGTACCCACTGCACTAGGTAGACTGTAGAATACACATTTGAAATACTACATGGAAACAGTGGTCCTTACGCATATAGAACCTAAGTTTTATTGTGTAAAACCAAGTAGTAGATGAGTAAATATTCCATATCACAGAAGGACTTCCCTGGGTTTAAACAGAAAGAGGAATGAGAGATGTGGTAAGAGTCTACGATTTTATAGAAGGGGTTTAGAAGAGACACACCAGAGAGGAAACAACAGAGCAAAGCTGCAAATTCTTGACACAAAAAAAGAGTGCAGCAAGTTAAAAAGCAATGTCAGTGTTAAGTTCAAAAGGCTCAAAAGCATCCAGAGGCATGCTGGAGGACTGCATGCCTGCCTGAAGAAATTATGAGGAGGAGAATAGGCTGACAGGACAACATTCACTGCTGCATCATTCCTGATTCATTTTGGCCATTTAAATACTTGGAATGGCAATGTATGGATCTGGGAATGGAAGTGTTGTTCTTTCACTTGGATTTTGATGGGAGTGGTATCCTTGGTCCTCTGCACCTTGATGCTATGAACCAGGATGGTAGCAAAGAAGATAGTAAGACAAAGTCAGCAGCTGCATCTTTTCTGAAGAAGAGGCCACTAGAATATTGGTTATATCTAAGAGAGAGAGAGAGACAGAGACAGACACAGAGACACAGAAGCACAGAGACAGACAGAGACAGAGAGAAATTAAGAGAGGTTGAGCTGAGGGGAAGAAAGGAGAAAAGGAATTGTCATTGACAAAGAAGAAATAAATGAGGGAACACATAAGCTCTACTTAATCAGGAGAGAAGTGATAGTGGCTATAGATACATGACCTATGTTTGCTCCAGTTAATAGGGTATGTCTACTAGAATTTTAGGTAGAGTTATTAAATAATTGGCCAACAAGGAAATTTGGATTTGAGGCGACTATCTAGGACTGGAGACAACTCTCAGGTCTGAGAATGTGACAACTCAAGTCACGGAACTAGAAGAGGGACCCAGTGAGAGAGTACGTAGAAAAGAGGCTCTGGACTGGGTAGCAAACAAAGAAGCTGAAATGACATACTGGAGGTACTGATGATGGAGTGGCCAGTGGTAACAGGTAGCTTTGGTGTCTTAGATACAAATGAGGAGAGTATATAGAGATAAAGTAATGAGCTTTTATCTTTTGGTGTCACTTTGTCATAGATCAGGGATAAGTACATACCCTTTACCAAAGAGGTATTCATTCATTCATTCATTCATTCATTCATATCAAACCAACATAATGAATGAATCATCATAGGAAAATCACTTCTATCCAACCCTTGTTTTCTCTCTAAAATAAATGAACAAATGGATATTGTTGTATACTAGGAAAGTCTTTCCAAGTGCAATACTATAATAGCTTGTTGTTGGTAGTGGTGGTGATGTCAGTGGTCACTGTGGTGCTGGTTGTGGTGGCACTGGTGGGAGCGGTCATGATGGTAGTAATGCTTATGGTTCTGGTCTGGTAGAGGTGGCAATGGTTATGGTGATGGTGCTCATGATGTGGTATGTATGCGTGTTTGTTTTGGGGATGATTTTTTTAATCACTCAATGCTGAATTCTTAATTGTCATTTAAGTGACTTATGTGTAGTTCCCAGAACAAATGATCATGGATTTGGTATCACTCTGCTGATTTCTGTTTTGAGTATGTAAATCTTTCTCTTGTGATTTTATAGACTTAGAAGAACCCTCCATCCTCAGGAACTCGAGGACAGCTGCCCTGGAACCCGTGTGGAAGTTAAGGAGACTGTGGCTGTGCTGGGGATCTGAGAACATCATCTTAATCCCAATGTTGCCCTGACATTTGTATCTAAGATTCAAGAAGATTAAGACTAAAAAGGTATGGACATGCAGTTATAACTTCTTAATTTTTAAGGCAAATATGGTACATTTACAAGCAGATTATTGTTATTGCCTTATCCACAACTGCCCTTGCTTTTCTGTGTGTCTTTTGCCTTTCAAGGAATATCTTTTCTTTCACTATAAGTTTATGGACTATGTTGGGATAGACATGGTACAATGGGGGAAGCTGGATGAAAGCTGCACTATGCTAACAGGAATCAGATGGGCAGAGGCCAGTATGACAAAGTAGACAGAGAACTGGGCAGGTGCCCAACAGAAAGAAAGGAGAAATTGTTGTAGATGCCTGTGCCATAAAAGACTCAGGTAAGAAGATGATTAAATAGATTGTTCTGTGTCATACATGGTTTCATTCCCATTTTCTGTGTGGGAAGCTGTTGATAAAGTTTTCTACCTTCTGCTTTCTTAAGGGTAGCATTGTATTTCTTTTAGATATATACCTATGCTGGGGCAGACATTTGAGTCAAAGAAATCTCATGGTTTTTAAAATGATAAATATCATGCTTACAGTACTTAAAGAGTAATCAGTGAAAAGTGAATGTGTATATGCTTTTTTTGCAAACATATTTACTATATAAATAATTCGTTGGATGCATCTAATTACTCTCAGTTTATATATATATATGTGTGTGTGTGTGTGTGTGTGTGTGTACATGTTTATATTTATGTTTGTACATATGGTGGGTGTTAAGGAAGAACAGACAGAGAAAGAAGGACTGGAATGATCATTTATAAGTATTTATGGTAAATCATATGTTCTGTTCTGACATTTGCAAAAATGTATGTATATCTCATAACAACCATGTGGAATAGGGACTCAGGAAGCCAGAGAGCAGATAAGTAGAATGTTTCTTGCAGCTGAGGGGTTCAGGTGCCAGACTCCGTTCTGGCCTTATTAAAATTCCACTTTATATATTCATTTGTATAGAAGAGTGGAGTCACATTTGTACCTGGAGAAATGGTTTCAGAGGAGCACACAGCATATCCAGAGGACATTGTAAGGTGTCTTAGAAAAGTCTGTTAGTATCTTATTCACTATTCTTTGAGACTCAAGAAAAAAAAGAAGGTGGGGATACAAAACAAATAAAAAACAGCAGCACTGTGTAATGATGTAGAGGGTTATGGGAGACAGGAGAACAGGGCAGGCTAGTTGAGGGCTTTGGTCCCTTCTTGTAGCACCATAAAACTCCCTTAGACCATGTACTCAAGAGAGATGGAGGTGTTGACCTGGTAAGGATCGAATTTGGTATAGCCACAGGCCTGCTGTCTCCTGTGTTTCTCCCCACTGGGATAAGTGTGGTGCTTGCTTTCAGCTTGTAAGTGAGTTGTCTTTTGAAAATGAAGCACTTTCACTTTCTACCTGCTGTTTCCAAATGCTGGCAAAGCCATGCTAGGGCTCTGATAGTCACAGGACTCATATACCTCTAAAAACAAAAACACCTCTGAAAGATCAGGAACTGTGTGAGTGAAGAAATCATTCCCTCTTTTTCAGCAGAATCTTCTTTGTTCATATTTATAATTATTTTTCTATTTTTTTTAAATCAAAGGATATCTTTCAAACAGTTCAACATTAGCAACTCCTTTCCTATTAACATGATTGCAAAGGCCAAGTTAATAATTTAATGACTGGAATGGAGGCACATGCACATATGTATTGTACCATTTTGGAGTCCTCACATGAGCAGTTCATGCTATGTAATAGATGTGTACTGTGGTTGCGGGCCTTTTTGCTCATATTTCCTTGATTTATCAGAAACGGAAGCTAACATACTCTGCTTGGCTTGTCCCAGTGTCCTGGAGGAGACTGTACATGGGGTTGAGATTGGAAGGGGGAGCTCCTTATTTTGAGTGTTGATCTTTAATTCAGAAAGTCTGTGTTCTAGATGCCAGCCACTTCAAACAGAAATTCTGCAAAGTTTTAGAGACCTTGACTATAAAAAATGTTCTCAGTTTAGACAGCAATGGACTGGTAAATGGGAAATCAGCTCTCTTTGTTCACAAGGATATGAGGGGAATTTATGCTGTGTGGTGAATGTTTATCAAGGGGATCTATTCAGTTGAACATACACACATGTATATACACACGTATACACACACACACAAGTACACACACACACACACACACACACACACACACATGAAAAACAAAAACAAAAACAAAATGTCCTTTCCAGGGTGTTAGAATAGAGTGAGATGTTGTCGGCATGATCCATCTACCATGGTGCCCTCTGGACCTCATAATCAGGAACACTAGAAGAGTTCTCAAGTGTCTTTCCACAGGAAGACAGACAGTAGAAATGAGTAGCTCTAGGAGCAGAATAATGAAAGCCAAATCATAGTTCTAATCCAGTCTGTGCTTGAACATTAGAAAAGCCATTTAATTCTCCTGAGCCAGTACTATTGAAAGTGTGTACCATAAGCTTAGAGCATCCGTGTCATCTCAGCTTGGAAGACATTTAAATTCTGAGGCTAGTCTGGGCTGCACAGTGAGACACTGTAACCCACACCCCTCCCCCAAAGTGTGAAACTGAAACTGCCCTCTGAGATAGATGTGACCATTCCTGGATTACACATACACAAAGTGACTATTACAGAAATCATCTAACATGTCCCAGTGCATAGTGCTTTTTTTCACACACTGAGCTCGCGAGTCATTTCATGTGGCTCTATTCTGGCTTAACTGTCTTTATTCCAGCTTAGATGTGCAGAAACAGTCCTCTGGAAGATGCTTCCAGAATGGCCTGTTAGGGATAGTGCTCATTAAATGAATGAAGTATATATTCTATTAGTAACTTGGGGAAAATAAAAGGTTAATGGTAAATGTCACTCTGGTTTCGAGGCTCATTAATTAAGAAAACGTGGCTTTTAGAACAATCTTTTTTGATTCTGGACCATTATACAAAGTGTTTCCAGGAACTGTGGCAGAGTCAGGGCCACCATATGGATAGCCTTGGAGTGAACTTGCTCTCCCTTCATCCCAAGCAACCCCATCTTCCTACATGTAAACAGTAATGCTCTTGTGTAAAAGAATACCATGACTCCTTGTTATAAGTATGGGGTGCTGCTGAGTCCCTATTTGCAGGCATGCAATTCACTCCATATCAATTGATAGCAGAGCATTATTTTCTGAACATGGTATCCATTTCACTGTAACAATTAGAACCTCTGAATGAAGTGGACACTTTAGCCAAAGGGGAGAAAAAGGCATTTAATTAATATGTAGGAAATGTTGAAAAAAATTGTCATTAAATGTGCATGTTATACTTTATCTGTCCAAAGGGACTGAAGGGAGCCTGGAACTGTTTAGCGTGGTTAGCATGTCCCAGCAAGGTTAATTGTCTCGGGGTGTTGAAGAGCTCAGCTCCTTTGTGAACCTCCACAGCTGGCCTCACTATCAGAACTGTTTTTCCTGCTACTTCGGCATCCTTCTTTATTTTAGCTGGGCTTTCAAAGTTTTGATTCCCAGGGTGTAATTTAAAAGCCAGAAAAATTGCAAATGTGTGCAAGCTAACAGAGCATGATATTGACAAATTAATTAGTCTATTCCCAACCTGCTCCCTTGGTAGAAAGGCTCTGTGTACCTCCAAGAGTATCAAAAGCAAAATGAAAAGCTGCCTTTGGTGATAGGTTTTATTACTGTTTCTGCCAGTCATCGTTCGGAGTGGGGATGTGGCTGACTCAGAAGAGTGGTGTGTGTGTGTGTGTGTGTGTGTGCTCACTTTTTATGATGGCTCACATTGGTAAAAATCTTATGCTAGTTTTTCATATGTCTCTGCATTCATGCACATCACTTGTCTGTTTCCCCCAGCATGTGGAAATGGTGGCGCCAACATTTTCTGTTCCCCACAGCAATGCATCAAAACCGTGGCTATCTTACCAAAGTTTTGTAACTGCCTTTCACTCATGGTTTCTTTGGTTTGCACTGAGTTGTTCCTGAAGTTCATCATGCATCGAAGTCTCATATTATTTGCTAATAAATGTATCAAGTATGGAGGATGAATAACACAGAAGAAACAGGCTGGATAACTCACAATGTTGTTTTCTATAGCCCTTTGCTTGCCTCTGTGTCTGGGTGATATGTACCAAATACCTACTAGGAACCAGTAGCTGGGCTGTGGTTTATCATAGTATATCTATATGATACCTGCCCTTTCTGTTCGGTCCCATAGCTTTATCATCTATAAAGTAAATTCTTAAATCAGACAAAACTGAGGACATCCTGAAGGCTTGTCAAACCCAAGGCCCGCTAGCCAAATATAACTAAGGATAGCTATGACTGTGGCCCAACACAAGAATAACTTAAAACACTATAATATTATCCTATTTATATGTGTATGATTTTTTTTGTAACTTGATTGTATAGCTTTTGCATGTATACTTTGTAAATGACATTGTGTTGCAATGTCAAAAAAATTGGACGTGCCTATTAGACCTCAGCAAATATTACAGTTTTAAGTGATTTGGCAGTTAATGATGATTCAGGAATATACTCTGAGCATATATAATAGCAATATAAGGGCCAATTCAAACATGTCACATGAAATTCTAAACAGATGATGGATGCTAAAGAACTTTTATGTGGGATCTGAGAGAAGGTCAGCAGTTAAGAGTACTTACTCCTGCTCTGGAGGACCCGAGTTCAGTTCCTAGGACCCATGTCACACAGCTTACAACTACTAGTTAACTCCAGCTCCACAGTATCTGATGTCCTCTTCTTTCCTCCATGCATACCTGCATTCATGTGTACACATGCACACACACACATATATAATTAATAACAAAAATGAAATCTTAAAGAGCATCTACATGAACTCTACAGAACACTTCACATGGAGTTTTAGCAATTATTCTCTACAGTGAGTTCTTTATAATGCAATCATAATGTCTGCAGGAGGCCATCATTTCATTTTTACATCTTTCTAAGTCTAGAAATAGCCTAGCATTATTTTCTTTCCATTCTCAACCATGCCTCTTACAAGG